GCTTTTTTTTATGGATTGTTTTTTGTTTATAGACGACTACACACAACCGGGTCTGTGTGCGAGCGAGTTGCTTTTTATGTGCCTCGCATCTTCGGCTGAAAAAATATAAAAGCAAAATATTTATGCGACCGATGCGAGGCCCGGGCCGTCCGTATTCCGTCCGGAATCGGATCCGTACAGGGGTGGTATGGCTACGGGGCGTATGAGCGAGCGAGAGGCGTCAGCAATGGAGGTGTGCGACTGAGACAGAAGCAGAAGCGATCGGCTCGCTGCTGCCCCTTTTTTTCGCGCCTCCGAGTAATTACTTCAAGTCAGATACCCTGGGAATAATAAGGAAGATGTGAGGTAGTTTCACTTTAAGGACAGTCATGACAACTGTGAAAAGGAGGTCCTTTATAGGGAGATATGCCTGTTCTTAGTCCAATTACTATCTGAAATATCTATCCAAAATACGTATTTCTTATAGAGTACCTCCTAGTCCAATCTGATTTCCGAAAAACACCATTATTCACTTGTCTTTTTATGAACTTTCACACACACTGCTCCCTAGATCATAAACAAACAGATACATGTTCAGTGGTATCTCGTAGATGCACAGTACATTAGCCGGGCTTTTTGTTATTGTTGCTGATGGACAGATCGGCCGACTTCATCATCGGTGGCCATTAGTCAGCACTGGCCCCTCCACTCCCCGGCTCCTCCCCCGAATGAGATCTCCTCAAGAACGTCTATGAACTTTGATCGCTGATTGATTGGCCAAATGCACTCGAAAATGCAGGCAGCACCTTCATACATATCGGTGATTTAATTACTTGAGCCGTTGAGCAGTTTGCATATTCGGTTGTCGGAGGCAGCGTTGCGTGAACCAGATGTTTCCCCCGATGATAGGGGCTCCCCAGGAGGAGGGTGGGCCTCCATGAGCGTAGTGCGATGTGGACTTTAAAGAAATCCCATAAATCGCCAAAACTGAACGCGAACAAGGTGCAATATTATAGGCAATCCCTTCTAGGCAAGTAATTCCGACTACGCCCATGATCACCGAATTGTAGCAGCTTGCTTCCTATACTGGCCATCAATCAGCGGGATCCAAATGAGTCTGCGAATGGGTCACAACAATGCGGCAGTACCAGGATCTCAAAAACGCTTCCGTTTCGTTCTCGAAACCCCCGCCAGTCCAAATGTCTTCACTTTGAAATCGGAAACGCTTCGTATACTTTCTGGACACACCGTTTTGACTTTAACATGGACACGGATACGGTCATCTGCTTGTCTGGGAACGGCTGATACAGTCCGCCTGCAAAGGGGGATTCTGCCTCCTCAGCGGGTCGATCATATTTCAGATTCCCGCAATATTCGCCAACACTTCGCTGGAACACTCAATGTATCTCAGTTGGATTTTGGGTGAAATTTATTTATTAATCTCAGAATTAATTATTACATGAGCATTTCCCGGAAAGAAAGGCTGAATGTGTGTGTGGTTCTTTCAGGTTTTTTAATGAAAAACATGCCTATAATGAGGAAAATTTATAAATAAATGATTTATTTTCTTAATAAGTCATTTGCTGAACCCAATCCTGTGTCAATATTTATGCTCCTAATGCACTTGAACCTGTACAAAATGCTTTCTCCAATGACACTGGATTCGAGAGTCGGCGTTTTAACTATATTAGTTTCAGTGGCTGCAATTACGGCATAGAGTTTCCACAGAACACTGTTTTCGTTCAGCCCCCCAGTGGAAAAAGTGAAGATTTGACAGGGAAACCACCTAGAGGATCCAAGAGGGGCATTTCGGAGAGTACCGCTCACGACTACCTAAAAATGGAAGACTCAGAACTGTCAACGCCCCTCTCCCATATTTTTCTGTCTGCCTCCTTTCAGTTTTTTTTTTCTTCCAAATATTATCCTAGGGGCACTCTGGAATGGAAGACCGTCTCAAATGACAAGCGGCCATAAATCCTGCTGCTAAATATAGAATGCCTTCCGAGGGCTCGCCGCAGGACGAGGCGGAGAAGGAGTCCCGGCCGCTGTGATTCTTTATGTGTGATTTTAACTAACTAATTTTTTCGCAAGGCCAATTCCCACACATGGCAATCAATGGCATGTGCTATGCGCCTAAGGACTCTGCAAATCTAGCTGCGAGCCAAAAAGGACCTCATGCCAGGGGACAAACCGATTCCTTTTCATTTTTCCCAACATATGTGTGGGCGAGCGTTGCGAGGCGACTCATAAATGAAATGAAAACAATGCCAGGATGTGCCTGAGTCCTTGCCGCGTTTTTCTATCCCATTTGCGAGTCTAAAGGAATAGGCGCCGCTAGTTCCATTGGGATGTGTGATCTCGGCCTACGCCGATTCATTCATCAGGCCTCCGAAAAGGGGCGTTCCGGCAACCAATACTTCTATAAATCAATTGTTCCAACATTTTTTTCTTTCTGGTGCCATTTCTGCTTAGTTTGCCGCCTTGCTTGCTTAATTAGATGCCGAAATTCTTTGGAATTTTTTTAATAGACATCACAAAATGGTAATTCTTCTCCGTTGCAATGGGCTGAGAACCAGCCATTTTGACGCATTTTATGTAAAGTACTCATTAAAAATTGTTTTTATTATGGAAGGAATCAAAATCCCTGTAAACTCCGGAATTTCCATATATGACCCATTCCAAAGTTCATATCTTTGCCAATTTTTATCAGATTCTTGAGTGGAATACCTTAAAATGTTTCTGGACCGATTCTCCACCAATCTGCATCAAAACCTGGACACAAATTTTTGGATCGATATTTTTCAAATTTTTGTGGGGGTTCCCTTGCAAAATCCGAGGTTTCCATATATGACCCATTCAAAAGTTCATATCTTTGCCAATTTTTATCAGATTCTTAAAAGGAATACCTTAAAATGTTTATGGATCGATTCTCCACCAATCTGCATCAAATCCTGAACCCAAATTTTTTGATCGATATTTTTCAAACTTTTGTGGGGGTTCCCTGGCAAAATCCGGGATTTCCGTATATGACCCATTCCCAAGATCATAACTTTGCCAGTTTTTGTCAGATTCTTAAAAGAAATACCTTAAAATGTTTCTGGATCAATTCTCCACCAATCTGCATCAAAACCTGGACACAAATTTTTGAATCGATATTTTTCAAATTTTTGTGGGGGCCCCTGGTAAAATCCGGGATTTCCATATATGACCCATTCCAAAGTTCATAACTTGGCCAATTTTTATCAGATTCTTGAAAGGAATACCTTAAAATGTTTCTGGATCGATTCTCCACCAATCTGCATCAAAACCCGGACACAAATTTTTGGATCGATATTTTTCAAATTTTTGTGGGGGTCCCCTGGCAAAATCCGGGATTTCCATATATGACCCATTCCAAAGTTCATAACTTGGCCAATTTTTATCAGATTCTTGAAAGGAATACCTTAAAATGTTTCTGGATCGATTCTCCACCAATCTGCATCAAAACCCGGACACAAATTTTTGGATCGATATTTTTCAAATTTTTGTGGGGGTCCCCTGGCAAAATCCGGGATTTCCATATATGACCCATTCCAAAGTTCATAACTTGGCCAATTTTTATCAGATTTTTGAGTGGAATACCTTAAAATGTTTCTGGATCGATTCTCCACCAATCTGCATCAAATCCTGGACACAAATTTTTGGATCGATATTTTTCAAATTTTTGTGGGGGTCCCCTGGCAAAATCCGGGATTTCCATATATGACCCATTCCAAAGTTCATAACTTTGCCAGTTTTTGTCAGATTCTTGAGTGGAATACCTTAAAATGTTTCTGGATCGATTTTGCACCAATCTGCATCAAAAGCTGGACACAAATTTTTGGATCGATATTTTTTCAAATTTTTGTGGGGGTCCCCTGGCAAAATCCGAGATTTCCATATATGACCCATTCCAAAGTTCATATCTTTGCCAATTTTTATCAGGTTCTTGAGCTTCTTGATTTTTAGATTGATAATGCTCCTTGGGATGTTTAGATGCCATTATTATATTCAATATGATTTCCCAAAGAATTATCTTTTTTTTCCAATTAAAATAATTTATATTCTAACCATTAAATGTGTTTAAACACCAAAAAGATAAACATTCTTTAATTCCACAAACGACAACCTGTCAACATGCATGCGATATGCCAATTCAAACACATCTAAATACACATTTGGAGGCGTATCTACATATATGTATGTATCTGCGTTTAAGCCAAATGGGTGTGCGAATCTTTTAGAAGATCCAAAATAGGCTCCGTGTGTATACAATGTATGTAGAGCGGAGAGGAGCACTTTCGCAAAGGAGTCCGCGCACCGAGAGCTGTCATTTAAAAAGCAATTAAGTCAACAACTATGAACGAGAGCGATCGGAGATATATAATGCTTATGCCTTTGATGAGGAGCCGGTCCAGTTGCCAGTCGTCGGTTCCAGGTTCCCCAAGGCGAGGCGGCGAGGCAGCGACTAAATTATCTGACTGGGCTAATTATGAGCATTTTAAATACGCATTTTGGCGACATAAATACTTTGTTCAGTATTTGGTTTTCTGGTATACTTTGTAAACAGTTTTTATGTTTTTGAACATAAATCAACCGGATGTGGATGTGTTGCTCCATCGGGGAGCTGTCTTCCCATGAACATGAGCAAGTGTATCTATAAGATGCAATGTGTATCTCGCGGATACATACAGCATACAGCAGTCCGTCCATCTGTCGCTCTGCGGAATGACGTTATGCTCTAAGTATGTCGACGTCTCCGTCGCCTCGATTGTCTCCGGCATATAAAATATATAGTATATATAGGGTGGCTGTGAGACAAAAGACCAGGGGGGGAGGGGGGCAGGGGGAGACGAGCCGACCCCCCCAACGAAGACGAAGACATTTTCGCGCCCAATTTGCTGGAGGGGAAGATCCGAGGGGATTCACAAATCCAAAGATCCAAAATGATTCCCGAGAGGGGAGAGAAGAATAATTAAAAACAAAATGGCGGTTCTGTTGGATTTGCGTTTTTTTTCATTGTTTCTTGGCTTGTTTTTGTTTTTACAATTAATTTAGTTTAACATAGTAATAGACTATAAAATTAAATAGGCTTTAATCATAAGGTTTGGCTTAGACAACTAGTCGACACGCATAATGGAAAGAGTGACAGAGAACTGAAGAGTGAGAGCGACTGGTGCTCTGGAATTCACAAGATAGTTGCAGCTGGAAGCCCCGGGTTCCGGATCGGCCAAAGCTATAGTCCGGTGGGTAGCTATGCCTTCTGGTGCTGGGCGTCGCCCTCCATGCGCCACACTCCGAAAAGGTAGCTCAGCTTTTCGGGCGGGATGATGGGGGCGCCGTTGGCCTTGCGCAGGCACTTGAGATCGGCCTCGGCTCCATTGGCGGCGGCACTCAGAAGGGAACTGGCCGAGCCGTAGGACGAGGGCGATCCCTGGGCCTCCAAGGCCTTTAGCAGGGAGATATCACTCGAGCTGAGCATACGGCACAGGAAATCGATGTATCTGTAAGGCGAGAAAGAATTCGATTAGTTTGGTGGTTAAAAATCTTAAGTTAACATAGGGGATCCTTTGAGAGTAATATGATATTCTTTTTGAAAAGATGACGCATCTTACCTTGTGGCCAGTTTGAGGGTCTGAATCTTGCTGAGCTTGTCGCTGGGCAGCGTCGGTATGATCTGCTGGAGCGCCTTGAAGGCATCGTTCAGGCTTTGGGTCCGCTGGCGCTCCCTCACATTGGCCATCACCCGCTGGTTGCTGAACTCGTCGGTGTCCTCCGTCTTGCTGGGCTTCCGCTTCAGCCGCCGTCGCGGCTTCCGGAAGGCTTTTCCGCCGGCATCCGAGCCGTCGAGCAGGCTTCCTGCGCTCCCATCGTCCGCCAGGCAGGCCGGGGACATGCCGCCGTTCATATCGTTGACGGAACTCAGAGCCGTGTGGCGGGCGTACTCCATCTCGTCCCGATCCGAGCTGGAGTAGGCACTGCCGTTCAGAGAGTTGGCCGGCTCGTAGCCCTCGAAGCTTTGGCGGTAGGCCGCCTGGAAGTGCATTTGAGCCTGAGATTGCTGATGAAGCTGCTGCTGGGATTGCTGCTGCTGTTGCTGCTGCTGCTGCTGGTTGGTGTAGAGTGGCAGGAATACTTGGTTCTTGTGCTCGGGCAGTTCTTCGTCGGGGAAGTCGAAGTGGGAGTGGGGCGAGGTGCAGGTGCTCTGGACTCCAGGACAAGCTTGAGCCGAAGCCACTTCATCCACAGTGGTGGGCAGATAGTCTACGTAAATGTGTTGCTGCTGCTGGTGTTGCTGTTGCTGCTGATGCTGCTGGTGGATGAGCTTTTTATGCTCGGGCTGCATGACGAGAGATCCTCCAGTTTGGCAATCGTAGTCTCCGCTGCTCCTGGCCCGCTTTCCGTGCTCGTTCCAGGCAGAACCGTTTCCATTTCCGTTCTGGGGATCAAAGTTGTTGTTGGAGCTGGTGTTGCTGCTCGTGTTGTTGTTGTTCAGCTCCAGGCTGGCGCTTTGGGCACTCTGATTGCTGCTGGTGCTCAGTACCTCGTTGCTGGGTATATTGTAGTCGGTGTCCTCCAGCTCGGTGATCCCGTAGGCTGCGTACTCCGAGGGCAGTGGGGCGTACTGGGGCGCCTGCTGCTGCTGTTGCTGCTGATGCTGTTGCATGATGGAGTGTTGCTGGTAGCCCGACTGCATGTAGGCCTGCTGCTCCACCTGGATCAGCTTGATGACGTTGTGCTGCAACTCCATGATGTTGGGCAGCGTGGGCTTGTAGCTAATATCTAGCAGCACTTTTGGCGACACAGAGCGAGCGCTCATCATTTAGATACTTTTTTGTTTAAATATTTTCAACCTCAACACACTTTTACTTAGGAGTTTTCTTATTTTTATCTGAACTATAATATATTTTAATATTTTACTTTTATTTATGGAGTTGTGCTATTTACTTCACGCCCGCGTTTTATCGATCGATCTGCTGGCACGCAATGACGGAACGCAACTGACGCACGATCCTTCCGGCCATTTCTCAAATTGACATTTTGCGGCTGCTCGACGGCCATTCGCTGCTCACTCGGCCCGACGTCACTGCTGCCATCCCACTCGCACACGCTGCGCGCGAAAGGGATGGCGCGCTCGCTTCCAAATGGCGGAAATGAGATGCTGGGTGCCGAGGCACTGGAAAAGTAACAACACCACCAGCAGGTACTGTGACGTCAGGCAACGCGGGATCTTTGGATTTTCTTGAGCTCGGATGCGGCTGCGAAAATTCTGCGTTTTCTCCACTGGAAGGAAAGAGAGCCATGACTTGGCACAGCGCTCCGGATTTTTTGTGGCCCTCTCTTGGGTTATTCTTTGGGTTTTCTCTCGATTTGGGAAAATATCCGATGGATGCAAGGCGAGGCGAGAAGAATTGCCGGCAATTCTTGAAATACTTTTACTTGTTGATTCCGCAGAGGAAAGAAAAGACTTTAATTTATGGGAAAAAGTTCTAGAGAACTAAAACTAACTAACTCTTATATTAATTATACATTCTTCCAAAATATAGTTCTTTAGTTTTGATAGTACTCTGACCAATCTGAATTTCCTGGTTGGAATATCCCTTTGAGTGTTCGAAAAATCCTTAGGTTGGAATCTCCCAGGATTCTATGTTTAATGTTTGTACGTTTATGCCCATCAAAATCATTCCGCTATTATATAATCATCAGTTTCCAACCATCGTAAAGCGCTAAATCCTCAACCCTAGCCAAGGGGAACTCCACGGAAAGGTTCCATTATGCCTAATTAGTGAATTCCCATACACACACACACACGCTGACGCACAAATACATGCGCGCAGTGGGAAAATCTCCGCACCAAAAATCCAAAATCCACAAAATTACGAGCGAAAAGTCAAATTTCCGGATATAATTATCTGCCTGCCTGCCGCGACCCAACAAAAATACCCGATTAATGCGGAGCGCGAACTTCCGCTGGAAAAAACCGCGATCTCCGATATTACCGGCTTAGGTAATAGCCAAATATCCCAGAATGAGGTATAGGTCCTTAGAAAAACCACCAACAGGGTTTTGCCCGTACGTTTACCTACCTGGCAGTAAAAGATATGGGAAATTATATATTTTCCAATAAATTAAATTGTTATTGATATTAAATAATTATAATCTATTCTAGAAATATATATATATATATTTTTTATAATTTTATTTATTTATAAATCTAAAATTTGAATTAAAATACAGCCAACTTTTTGGCTCAACTAAGATATAAAGATCTGTGGTGAGAAACGAAATGCTGCCCCAATAGGTATGCTATACTTTATTTCAAAAGTGTGTGTGTAGAATAGGAATTTCCTGATCATAATATAATACGGAAACAGATAAATTAACTAACCCTGAATTAAAAATTAAGCAATTAAATATTAGATTTATATTTATTAATTATTTAAGGTTTTCTCTTCTTATTTATGATAGATGGCGTTACTGCAAAACCTTTCAAAGATGTAGATAATTCAACGGCGATCTTAATGCTCCAATTGGACACACTGCAGTCACGTAGTTTATTGATTTCAAGTCCGCTTACGAACCCAAATCAAACGCAAATAACAACAACAACAACAAAAAAAATCGAGAGAGAAGCTGGAAAAGGTATTTTGCGTATTAAATTTTTTGTTTAGCGATGCTGCTTCTGTTTTTCATCTCGGGGGTCTGAGATGCTTTTTTGCGTGGTGCGATTGCCAAACGATTTTCAGCAGCAAACAGGCCAACTTTCCATTTTGACAATGCTCTAATCCTGCCATCGCAAAAAGTCCATGTGTGCTAGTAGTGCTATGTTTTTCCTCATGTTGTATGTAGTATGTGTGCTGGAGCGTGAGAAGAAACTTTTGGTGCACGTAAATCTCGCTCGACAATCAATTAAAATTAAAATATTTTTTGCCTGCCGAGAGCGCCAACGTTGTCTACATATTCGAATTGACTTTTGATGATGTATCACGATTTATTGTTACCAAAAATGGTCGTCAAAGCGCGTGGAAAAGTGGATCAGGTAGTCTGGCGACGTCTAACGGTATTCCGTGTGTCAGGCAAAGGGGGTGGTTGGGGGCTTTAGTCGACAGACTCCCACAGCTTTTGTGTCCACAGGGGGACTTGGATTGGTAGTAATGTACATGGTGGATATTCTAGGATGATGAATCTATCTTTATAGTTCTAGTATAAGGATTAAAGACTAGCCATTGGTACTGCAAAAGCAAAGTAAACTTTTAAATAAGGTTTTGTTAAAATAAGATTCCTTCTTGTGATCCCCTACTTTCAGATGATCCACTGTAGTTACCAAAAAACCAAATCGTGTCCGATGCAGCCTCCGAGATTAGACTGAAAGCCGCTTGATGAAACCGACAACCGCTGACAGCGAGTGCCCCAAAGATTTGTTGTGGCTGTGTTAATTGTCTCCGCTCTACAGCCCACTGGCCCTCAGCATACGATCTCGCCACACCACTTTCCCCCCACCGCCCACTAGCAGCCCACTTGGCAGCCGTCAGCCAATGAAATCGCTGGCGCCAAACACCTACACCTCGCGCTTGTCAGTCGCTCGTGTGTGCGGCATGTTAATTAACAGCACACCCATACAGAGCACCCGGCCAGGTGAAATACCGTGGCACTCACACCGACACAGGGGCCGGGGCACACATACCGCGGCAGGCCTGGTGGCCACCCAATAACATAAGCGCCAACTTGTCATTTTAGCCTAGCTCCACCTTAACTAAACAAACAAACAAAGTGGTCCACACAAACACACACACACACACCTGCGTGCGTGTTGTGTGGGGGCTGTGGTGAGTTGGGTGACGGCGGAAAGCTCACCACGGCTCGGGGAGCCAAACTTGGCGGCCCAGACACTTTGGAGCTCAAACGTTCGTCGCCGCGCGGTTCGTTCAAACGTGTTTCGCTGCCGAGCGTCAAGCTCGTTGCTTCCTTTTCGTTTCATTTCGTTTCGTTCCGCTGCCTTTTTGCCGGTACTTCTGCGCATGCGCGGATGCGTGCCTCGCGTCGTTGCATTGCGTTGCGTTGCATTTGTTGCATTTGTTGCGTGCGGGGTGCATTGTGTGTGCGTGTGCTTGGTGCGACGCTTTAAATGGCGTTTTAAGTGAAATTAAAATGACGGATGTGCTGTAATTTGCACACTCACGCTACAACAACAACAACAACAAGAGTAACAAGAAATCCAAGAATCAAGAGATATATAAATAATAGCAACATAACACACACGGTGGTTCGGCGATGGGGCGTTGTATTTGTGGTAGCATGTGCCTTAGTTGATCGAATTAAGTGCGAGTTTGTAGCGCCCGCGGGACCGGGACCGGGAACTGCAATTGACTGGCCGGCCGCCGACTGCCCAACCGGAAATGCAAGCCCAACAATAATAATAACAACAACAACAACAAGTGTATAGTATAGTATAGTATAGTATAGTAGCAACACCCCCGCCCAGGAAACAGCGGCAATAAGTGCTAATAAGTGAGCCAGAGACAAGACCGGATGCAGGGCACTAGTAATTGCCAATTTTAGGTCTGAACTGTTCAGTGTCGTTTCGTTCAATTTGAAAAAATCTGTAGGGCTCTCGGACTGTTATTTTTTGTGTATTTTTTGTTGTTTTTTTTGCTCAGGCTGTCATGCTCAGGCGACTCATAAAATATTTGCCTAAGTAACTGAGTAACTGAGTAAACCAAGCAACTAACTAACATCGTCACGCACTGCGATCAGCGCAGCTCCTCCCTCACTCTCTTACTCTCACCTGCGCTGGCCGACCGTCTCCTTCTGGGGCTGCAACATGCGGCTGCTGCTACGTCTTCGGTGGCCCCCCTCCCCCGCTGATAAAAATAAAAGGGAGTCCCCCCGCAGCCCAAACAAAAGTTAAAAAGCCCAAGAGGCAAGAGGCAAGCTAAGAAACAAGCAACAGGTCGCAAAAGAACAAAAAAAAAAAAAACAAAAGGGGAGACACGCGAATTGAGAAAAGAAATAAAAATAAAAAAAAATAAAACTCAAGGTGCGTTGCACTCGTTTTGGCCGCGTTTTGTCATTGATTCCGCGGATGCGAAATAGCATGCGGCAGTTGCAGTTGCAACAAAAAGACGCAACAGCTGCTGCGACAATAGCCGGGCCGAAAGCACCTAGTACCAGCAAAAGCAAAAGCAAGAGGCAACAGGCAAAAGCCAGAGCCAGGCCCAGAGCCAAAACCAAGCGCTAGTTGCAGCGATTATTTCAAGCATCCACCTCCACCACCGCCCTCGCCTGCCTGCCGACCGCCGCCGCTGCCTCGCCGCTTTCCCCTCCTTTCAACTTCAACTTGCTGCCTGTCTTTTGTAACGTGGCCAGAACGTTGCCGGGCAATTATTATTTTGTAAGACGTTTTACAATTTAATGGTTTTCATGGTAAGTACAACGCCGCCAACGCCATATGCCATGTGCTCCCCTTTTTTCGGTCGGACCCTTGCCAGCCTGCACTTCCTCTTTTTCGGACCCTGTCGGCCGAAAGTTTGTTTTGGTGACTCCCGGGGTCATGGGGTCGCAGACCGCGAGGGGGGCCTTGGTTAGCACCAACCTGTTGTAATTGCCAACCCGGGGAAGCGTTTAATTCCTTGTTTCCTCTTTTATTTGTTTATTGCAGAATGGACTTGGATCCGACCCTCTGTCAGCAAAGGAGGTAAGCCTGAGGTTAAGTTGTAAAATATATTTAAAATAATGATTTAAGTCCTTAAACTTTAAGACTTTAACTCGGACTACGGGTCGTATGAATAATTTATTCTCTAGTTTCCCAATCTATAGATTTTATACATAGGATATAGCACCTTATCGATGCTTTGGCAGGACTCCCTCGTTAAGTAATTGTTATTGACCGCAATTTGTCCTCCATATCAGTTAAATTCAATTACGGCCTTTGGTTTGCCAACGCCGTGATTGGCCATGATGGCCTAAAAAACCTTTATCAATTAAGCGCGAGCAGAGCAAAATAGTTTCATGTTAGCGATACACTTCGGGCCATTCGAAATGACAATTGCGGAGGAATTCCCATTGGGCCAATTCGTTCGGCTGCCTCATAAAACTCATCCGCCTCAAAGGCCCCCAGAAGCCGTCAGCACAGCAGCCGCCGCATACCAAGCGTAAGACAATCCATAACACAGTCAGTGGAAGGGGAAGGGGGGGCTGGGGCGGCTGGGGCGAATCAGAGCCAACTAATGTCCCAACCATCATTCTATCAATTGCGGCGCCTATGAGAAATTTCAGCACGTCCCAGCACAAATTAGCGGCGTAGAGGCTGCAGCGCCCCATAACAATATCATAAAGTACATATTGTGGCATGGCTGTCGGTGGGTTGAGGATCCCGACAATAAATCAGCGATCGGGCAATTAGAGGGAAAAGTAAACTTGGCAAAAACTACTAATAAGACGGAAAAATATAAATATAAATACTTTGAAACGGGGGGCTAACATCAGTCGCATATCAATTGCGGTCGCCAGCAACGATCTCGATCTAGATCCTGATTCTGATTCCGATTCCGATTCAGATTATGTTCGATTTTCATCTGCTGCCGGCGGCCAATGAAGTTGTTGGTAACATTGTGGGCCATAAACTTGCCAAAATGCCGGAGAGACGTCGCAATCGAAGACCCCTTAGGCTGCCGTTCGACACAATCGAAGACAAACTATCTAATCTAATGCCGGCAATGAGCATTTGTTTGAATAAACAACCACTGCACGGCGGTAAACAACGGCTCACATCGCGTGGCTTGAGTTCTGGGTTCTGCCAGCTTCAGACCCTCCCCCTCCTCCCCGTGGCATGTCAGTGCCCCCCCTCTGGTATTCGCCCACTCGCCACTGACATTTTTTCATAATTTGCGCTACAAGCCTGACAATTGTCGTTGTTGCCCACTGGGCACACACTCAGCATCCATGGATGTTTTCGATGTTTTGGCTGTCGGTTGTCGGTGGTTGGTTGTTGGTGTTGCTGAGGTTGTTCGCGGCCGTGTTGTTGGCAGCAGGCTCAGTGGTTACCCTGCAAATGGGTTTAGTCGGGTTAACCGATTTGGCAGGTCAAACCAAACGGCGTTCTCATAGTATAGTAGTTTTAGTATTATTACTCCCTTTTAAGATTAGTCTAGTATTAGCTAAAGTATATTGAATTAAAATTATGGGGTTTCTTAAATGTTTACTTAACTTAATGACATTTAATAACAAAAAACACGCAAACATCAATTCCAAGTAGAAGCTTAGCTCTGAGACCTGATAGCCAGCCTATATGGTATCTCTACATTCGAAACACCCTTCCATATAATTATTAGACCCCATTTAAATACACCTCCAAAGTGTTGGCGCTGACTTGTGCCTCGAATACTTATCCCCACACCACCCCCTGCCGAAATGCATATGCAGTGCCAAATTAAAATTTATCCATTTTATGGCGCTGCGGGCAGCTCATAACTGTTTCTTTGTTATTTTTGCGCCAATGATTTTTTTTCATATATTTTAGTTTATTTTTTATTTTTTTGGTTTTTATTGCCGTTAGTTTATTGGCTAAAGATTTCGTAAGCGCATAAAATGCGCAACAATTGTGGTTTTTCGGTTTCTTCCCACTTATCTGGCCCGATCTCCCATACGACCCATAAGGCCCATACGGCTCATGTGGAGCAGAGGCGCTTTTATAAGAAAGATATCGACGGAAGTCATTTGCGGTTGTTCCAGGTAGAGGGGAATTCAATCAGCAAACAGCTCTCAAACACGCACACATTTCTTCTCCTTCCCCACCATGTGGAAGCCCCCCATGGATAGTATTCTTTTCTGGGCTTAGGCATCCCAACACTTTCCCCATTCTCAGACTTGGACTCTTTGGACATTTTGTCAAACTTGATTAGCCATGGTATCGCTTATGACTCTATTGTTTAGCTGCATATTTAATAAGTTACTCCTCCGATAACAATATTGATGACGATGCTGATAAACTTCTAATTTCTGTCTCTCCCCAACAGGCAGAGGGCCCTCCGGTTCAGGTTGAACCAGTTGATCTGAGCTTACGTTCGCCGCGCGGTAAGTTGCTAATTATACCCTATATCTAAGTCGGGTCCACCTAAGCGGCCTGTGTTTGGGCCGAAAACAATTAATCACCTGAATGGCCGATCACTTGAGAAAATCAGGTCACAGCGAGGAGGAGAGTATGAAACCAATTTGCATTTCTCCTATAATGAAGATAGACTTCGGTTGGGGGATTGAAAAGACAGTTGGTGGGTGGACAGAAAGTATTTTTTTTTAATTTTGCATAAATTGGTCAGAATCCAAGCTCAATAACTCGATTCTCCAGCTGGTATCAGATGTAGCGGCTACAAATGAGAGACAAACTATTTCAAAACAATGCCCAGATCGATCGGTAGAGATGTGTTATTTATCAGCATTTATATCAGACCATGATCACACTCCCCCCACAGCGCATTCCTGAGAGCTCCCGTCCCGGGATTATCCGACAATCTTGCAGACAAGATCAAACAAAAAGTGGGGAGACAAAACGTTAGTCATTGCCTAATGCTCATCAGGCGGAGCCATTCATACGTGAATGCTCACCGGGCAGCTCGATCTGATGGGTATCGCCGTGTGATCATCAGCAGATCGGTTGTTGGGGCCCATTAAGTTCATGCTGATTCCGTGGCGAGTACCGCTCTATATCCGACGCCCAGGAACCTGACCTGAACAAGTGAGTGGGGACCGGGTTGCTGTTGGAGTGTGTTTGCTTTACCCACTTGACCGACGAGGCTATGGACCAACCACCAACTGTGGACCAACTGTTTGACCATTTGACCTTTGCCAGCCTTTCTCTTTGGCCCGACTTGTGTGTGTGTATGTGTGAAGTTAACAGCAACGCCCCGAAAAACCGAAAAAGCCACAAAAATTTGACTAGATAAATAGATGGTTAGTTATACGACCATCCACTCACAGCTCCTCGCAGCCGTAGGGTGCCCAGCGGTACACCTAATTTAATTAAGAAGCCAGAGAGCTTACCTTAAATGGCTATACAGTAAGATTAACAGCTAAAACCTGAGCGCTCCGTTCATTAAAGATTTCCAGAGCTAAACCTTAGCTGAGGCAAAAGCCAGAGTTTAAAAAATTGTTGTCTCGCCGCGCATATTAATCAATTAGGCATGATATTAGTGAGGGCATCATTAATTTTGTCAATGCGCTCACCGACCACAAAAGCTATTTGAGAAGCGCATAGAGAGGCGGCGACGACGACGTCTACAACGGCAGAGACTGCGACAGAGACAGCGACGGTAAGAGCAATCTCTCATGCTAATGGTTTATGGCGTGCTACCACCAGATCCGTGGCGAATGTGTTAAATAGCGTTAAAATTTGTAAAACAAACGGCACATAATGGTCCGGCTTAATTTCCAGCCTTAACGGTCATCCCAAGTCAAAGCCAAGTCCATGCCACCCGAGAGCACCGAAAGCATAAAACGAAACTACTATATACGAGGAAAACGACCAGTTTTTTTTTTTCGGCACACATAAATTATGGGCTTTAAATAATTATACAATTAGCTGGCGGAGCGATAGATAGCCTCAAATTGCCAATGAATAGAGGGCAAAGCCAGGGGCCCCCAGAACGTAAGAGACAGTGCCAAATTCCCACCAACTCTAATTGCAGTACTGGGGTCTGGTCGTCCCATCACCCCGTCATCCCGTCACCCCGAACCTGCTACCCTCTATCCCTCTACTTACCAGGAGAGGTGAGACTCGCGAGCTGGCTGGGAAGCTGCAACGGCAACTACAACTTGATTTATTTAAGCTACCCAAACAGCCCATAAATAAAGCTGTTGAACTAGCCACCAGACGGGGATCGTGGCGATCGGGGCAAAGGGAGTCGAGCAGAGTCTGGCAGAAGGGTGGAGCTTGAAGGAGAGCCTAAGACATCCACAGTGCCTTACCCAAAAAACAAAAACCTAGAGAAAAAAACTGCACAACATCGTACAATCCCACACCACCGGGCAGAGCCTCACCAAACCACCGAACCGAGCGATCGCCTCTCGCCACTCAGGGGCATAGGCTTTCCAGGTTAAGTAGATGCGGCGACACGCGGGTCGATCCGCGAGCGAACGACCTTAAGACGGAGATCCCAGCCCGGAGCGGGGGTACCGGAGGAGAGGCGACGATGTCGGAGCATCCACAGCATCTATCGAATGATATGCAACATTTAGTGAAGTGTTCGAGTACCAAGCCAGGGCCCGGGTATATTGGCGGAAAGGTGAGAATGTGACGAGCAGGTGCTAACAGGTAGATGAAGGTTTCGGGAAATACTTCAAAAGGGGATTCTGGTGTGTAAGTCCTAGGTATTCCATGAATAGGAAGACTTTCTTTAAGAGGATGAGATTAAGCCCACAATTCTCTAAAGTTGTATATGGAAATGCAGGGTAACCTCTAGTCTGGGTAATCGAAAGGCCTACAAAGCCGTGTTACCGTTGCTGCACTTCATCGATTCGGGTTGTTGGCTGAGCTGCTGATTTGGCATCTGCATCTGCATCATAACCGCTGGCGGCTTCAAGAGTCGCAGCTTTACTGGCTGGCCTCGCCCAGATCACAAGATCCTCCAGAGATTCCCCAATCCCAGATTCCAGATGCCAGATGCCGGCAGATCCCCCAATTCCAAGTCCCATAAAAATCTGCAAAAAATGGGAGAGACGCACATGCAACTGGCGAGGGGCGTGTTGTTTTTGGGGTGATTGTTTTTTAATTATGCTCAGGCTGACACCCGGGCGGGATGACCATTGAAGAGGCACCTCCATGGACCATGGGGAGAGAGGAGCCACCGCCAGAGGAGCCATGTCTTTGGGCCTGGTTAACATGGCGCGTATGTAGCGCATCGAGTTGACTTGACTTGACTTGACTGAGTGACTGTGACTGGCTTTTGAGGTTATGTGAAAGGTCAAGTTCGTGATCGCATTCAAACATTTTTGCCAACCACTCATCTCGCTGCGCAGATCGGGCCCAGAGACCAGGCCCAGACCGTGGCTGAGCGACTGAGCCCGAAACTGAGACTGAGACTGAGACCTGGGAGTAGAGTGCAAGGAACACGAGTGTGAGCCGCCGCCGCTGCCGAAAAAAATGGAAAAGAAGACTACGGTCGGCCGAGGAGTGGGGCTGGTGGGGGGAGGGATACCCGACGACCCAAGCGACGTCGCATCGTAGAAAAATTGAAGATGAGCGTGCCACCACCACGCCACGATTCTGCCATTCCCTCTGACTCCGACTCTGGCTCTGTCTCTGTGCCCCTGTCCCTGTCCCTGGCTAGCCCCTGCCGCGGAGTCGGACTCCGTATCCCCATCGCTGCCCCATCTGGCGGAGATACCTGGCCGTGCCGCTGACATCTCCCGCCGCCCGCGCCGGAACCGAATTGAGTGAATGTAAACTGTGGTTTACTTGTTTCCAGCGTTGTCATAGTAATTTTTCTGCACTATAACAACGGGCAGCGTCGCCTCCATCAGCACTGAGAGAAAAGGATGAAGGTCCTCGACCTCCGGGAAATGCCATTCTTGGAGCTCACTCTCGTGGAGCTTATTGGATGAATGGTCTGTTTATAGAAGATAACTATTCAAAAACATGACAAAAATTTCTTTTGGTATAAAGTTTTGGGTGCTCTAGGATGTTCGGTGGCAGCACTCACCCGAAAAAAACATTGAAACAAGCAGAGAAAAATGGAGATGCTGATGACACTGGAGACACGTTGTCTCTGGCAATCGTGCAACTGACACACCAGCCCAGCACCACCACCACCAGCACCACCACCTCCTCCAACAACGGCAACAAAATGCTAGACAGCATATGCCACACGAAGTTTGTTTTTTATATTTTTGTCTTTTGTGGAAAGATTACACTGGACAGCAGGGCAGCTAATGGGGTGCGGCTGAAAGGAATGTGCTGCCAGGGGTAGGGGAGTGCCTAGGTGGTAATTGAAAGTTTATAAAACACTAAAGAAGCTAAAGATTACCACAGGAAGCTAAACCAAACCCCCTAAGAATAAACAGAACCCATAACATTCGCAATGAAAGTACTTTCAAGTAAAAATTCACAGGCTTAGCGAGAGCACCTGCTTGGCTGAAAGTCCCCCTTGAAAGTCTGGCCAGAACCCTCGGGCTAATCAAAAGCCACTCAAGAAGTCTCTCTTTAACCCCTTGGTGCCCTGCATCTGGGCGCGCATAAATCACCGCGCTGGCCCAGGCGGAGGTGGAGACACCAAACCTGTTGCACAGTGTTCCCCCGTATGCGCATCTTCCTGGGCTCCCTCCCCCCACAAAGAGGATCATGCGAAGAGATCCGGCCAAAAAAAGAATGAAACAAAACAAGGAGGCTAAAACCACGCAGTTGCAGTTGCAATCGCAGTTGAAGTTGCAGTTGCAGTTTCAGACACAACAACACACACCACACCAAAATAGATCCACGCTTTCGTGAGCGAACAATTCGAAAGCTGCCAACAACCACGAATAAAAAAAAAAGAATAATAAAAAAAAACTAAAAAAACAGAGAAGAAACCCCTGAGATCTCGGCGACGATCGATTCGTGTTAGTCATCACAGCCAAGTCAACCTACACGAATCATAATGAGGTAGAGGCTGCTCCTCAAACTCAAAACTGTGTCGTTTTCGAGCCGAGCCATTTATCGGATCGATAAGCCGCGATCCAATCTGGGCATCTGCATCTGGCTAAGGATCTTGGCCAGCTTTAGCTCCAGCTTTTAGCTCAGAGTTTCCCAAGATTTTTTCGTGTAGCTCATTAGCCTGGCAAACTAATTTCGCAAGCCAGAGACAATACCCCAGAGACCTGGCTCAAGTGAGTCTTACTTGCCGCAGGAACAAAGTCAAAACGGAGGCAAGCTGGCTGCATATTTATTGGTCATAAGTGCGGCAACAAAACAAACAAACTGCCGAAATACAACGGGCAAAAAAATATTTGAAAATTTGTCTCCGACTTGGCTTGCATAGCAATCGCATATTAGCAATTTGCATTGTCTACTGGAGCACACTTGGTTAGCCGAAAAATAAAAAAAA